AGAGAGAGACAGAGAGAGAGAGACAGAGATAGAGAGAGAGAGAGAGAGAGAGAAAGAGAGAGAGAGGGAATGTGTCTATTTCAGAAACTGTGTTGCAGATATGGTACCGTTTTATTCTTTCATGTACCTAAAAAAAATCTACATAAGCAAGCATAGCGTCAATATAATTATTTATCCATGTACCACCAGTTGATGTTCTCAGTATCACATTTATCAACGGCCCGTAACAACTACATGTATCTGTAATCTATTGTACCCTCACATTTATTGAACAGAATCTGTGGGTTCCAATATATGTACTGACAAACAATTGATTGTTTGTTTGGTTTTTTTTCTGCGATCGCAGCAATGAAATATCTCAAACTAATTTAGATCTTTAATAGTTGGCCTTGACTTTTTATATCGTCTCACGGCTGAACAGCTGTGAATACAATGACTTCTGTTGATTTCTTCTTTGTTCTTGTTTGTTTTTGCTTTTTTACATATATTATTTTTAGTTTTTATAGTTTTTTTTTGGCTTTTTTTTTGGAGGGTGTTGGCATTTTTGGTAGAAGGCATACTATGTTTGCTTCCCCCACCCTCGCCCCCACACCCTTATTTATTTATTTTCTTTAAATAATAAGAGGCTCACAATAATTTGAAAGGAATTCAGAGTGTAAACTTAAACATAATGACCTCATGGTTTCTCTGACTACATCAGAGTTTCAAGACTCATGCGTGCGTATTACGTCAGTATAATAATTGGTCACTTTTAAGCAAAAGGGGGCTATCCAGCAAAACGCTGTTTTGAGAAAATCGAAGGTAAAGTTTTTGCTTTTAAAGACATGGAGAGTTTTCTCTATAACCAAACAAATATACACACCAATGAAACCAAACTTCTCCTATAGGTGGGGCTATTCACTTTTGGTGTAGGTCAAGATCTCTGGAAACCCCCGAAATCTGGGTTAGCCCGCTTGTCCTTAAAAGACCAATTATAAATAAAAAGGAAAACAACTGAAAGCATCCAGCGGATCCCCCCTGCCAAGTGAAGGTCCAATTGCTAAAGGTCTTTTCAAGGGACAGCAAAAAGAAAGAAACAAATTTTGTCCCAAATTAACTAGGTTATTTCCCTTTGCAGACTTGTGTTATTTCATGAGCAGAAATCTTCCACTGGCGTTAGTAGTAAAGCAGACAGGGGTCTTCGTTGTCGCTCACAAGAGACCCGAGTTCAATATTCGAGTGCGGTGAATCTTTATCGAGCATCTCAGTTTTTCTGCGGGCAAATTTCATATTATTTGACCTAGGCTAGGGAACTTCATAATCCGCATGATGTGTGTGTGTGTGTGTGTGTGTGTGTGTGTGTGTGTGTGTGTGTGT